GATATTTTATTTGGAAAATTAAATTATATTCATTCTCTTCAGAATTCCCACAATCGGGTCGATTCTGTTCGGATCTTGTTATAACATTGCTAAGATAATAATATTGTTATGATCCTAACATCCTAACAATATTGCTATGAAGTTCTGTATTCTGTTTGCAGAGTAACTGCAAGACTGGTTATAAGTTCAAGTGATAGCAATATTGTTGAAAAATTGAGAATTTTTGAGCTGACAACACTGTTTTCAACTCATTGTTTAAGTGTTAGGTACCTATCGATTTTGCCATTATTTCATGAAGAAGAAGAGTTCATGATTATCTAACCTCTCAAATTAGTCAGTCCTGCACTGACATTTTACAAAATTATATTGTTCAAATCGAAAGATTTTGTATTTGCTAAATCTGGTCGTCGTTGTGCGACTGGTGCAAGTAATCAATCATGTCCCCAAAATGATAAACAACTAAAAGCCGGATGAAAATAATCGTGATTTTTTTCAATATTCTAACAAAATAGCTTGAAATGGTTTTTCTGGTTCTTAATATGCCGAAATTGTAGTCTCATATTTTCTCTACAAATTGGAACTTCAAGAAAAGGTTTTCAAGTAGTTGGTCACAGTAGTAAACCTATCCTATTTGTTTGTAATCACCATTCTAAGTTTTTCAATAAGTCTTCTACGAATTGAAACTTTGAGGAAAGGTTTTCGAGTACTTAGTCAGTGACACAACTGAACTCTCATAATGTTTTTAATCCACTATTTTCTGAATTTACATACAGTTGGAAGAATTTGTAGTGCACAAACGAAGAATCCACTACCTTGTTATAAGATAGCAAGCACAAAATTGATGTTGCCGAGATAGCAAGAAAGCTGACCAGATGTCATTGAAATTGACAGATCATATTGCCAAAACTCGATGATTAGAATTCCACTTTTTCGAATCTTGCTATGATAGCAATATCTTCTCTACAACCATATTGCTATTTGCAAACAGAATCGACCCGAATGTATTACACATGCAGGACATTTTCATTTATATGCTTCTCAATAATTTATGAAATTATATTTCAATTTTGGCGTTCATGAAATGTAATTTCAAATTCAGACAATTTTGAATGAAAAAGCGCGGGACGACTATGGTGCTCTTGTCACAATGCAAGGTGTGTAACTCAATAAATCTGAACATTCAAAAACACTAATAACATTAAATAAATACCATCCAGCATCCAGTGACTCTAGTATTATCTTTAAATATCCCTGATGCCTACCTCTTTTATCACAGTTACTAATTAAGTAAAGAGATTCTGATCAAATTCGATATCGAAAGACACCAACAATTAATATGAACTTTCCGAGGATCTTTCTTTCTGAAGGGCAGATCATTTCGGATTCGGACAGTGCAGTACCCGAGGCAGTACCTACGTTTCTGTTGAATGAAAATAGGGGTCAAAGAATACTGTAAGAGGTTGGTCTGTCTGTATAGTAAATAAAATTCGAATATGATTTCGCAAGAAATCGGCCACTGTTCAATTCATTGAAAACCTATGGCACTATCACTATCTCAATTGATAAGTATTTTGATATTTCCATACAAGTTTTGGTAGATGGAGAATGTATTTTTTTTTCTACTACTGCTATGAAAAGTAGTGAATTTCTCATAGTTCACTTAGTTTCAAAACAATGTATTGCCCATACTGTGAGAAATATTTTTTCTCACGGCACTTTGCCAACACCACATACATTTCCATGGAGAATAAATAAAAATCGATCAAAACTTGGCTGCTGTTCAGCTTCGAATAGTTGTCACAACTGTCAGAAGAAGTTTTTTAAATTCTTTATGGTAGTTCTCATTAGTGCTTTAGATAGAAATCGCATTTTCCATCAAATATTGTTCCAACAATTCATAATAAATAATATGATGTATATACCGAGATGGGCGAGATGTGACGATTTTGAACACGCTATATATCTCTGTAATCATTTCCGATCTCGGATAGACCCAAGTGTGATGTATCGATGAAATCAGCTCTTCAGGGAAAATCTAAAAATGCAATAAAATACAGGATCGAGTACAGGATATTCCGAGGGATATTCTTTCTGAAATAACAAAGTTGTTGCTATTTTTTGATAGAAGAGGCAACACTGCATTGCTGAAAATATTTCAAATGAAGAGAGCGTATAATATATTCTAAAATATAAGCATGCATATTTTCATGGATTTCTATTTCTCCCGACTGATTCTCGATATAGAGATAGTCGTCGTGACATACCATGACATACCCTGTATATACCTATAGGAAGGTATAGTCCTCGGTATAGTCGTATTCCGAGTCGTATACAGTTTGTCCCTGAAAGGTCTGTACAACATCTCAGCACATATTTCTGAGTTCAAATTGAAAAGATTAAAATCGACTTACCTCGGTCCGAAATTGCTTCGTTTCCGAGATACAGGGTGTTAAAGTTGAAGAATAAAGATCGAATTTCTCAAAATTCATGAACATTTTTGAAGGTATCTCTTCAAAAATTGATATCCAGGGGTTCTTTGGGGTGCGAAACGTAATTATGGACACCTTTTCACTGTGTGGCCATTAGAGGGCTTTTACCGATGGACTTCATATATAGAAGGGCCATAACTTTTTTCTCAGTGTAATTTTTCACTTTCTTTGTTGAGGAAACGATTTTCTGAATATTTTGAAGCAAAAAAGGTACACCTCTGAAAATTATCTAAAGTAGGCCGTTTTCGAGATATTTCTGATTTTGGTATTTGATACCGCGCAACAGAACATTTAAATTATTTGGAATAAAAAATGTTTGCTGTTATGTTATCTTTTTCCGTCTTTTTCTATTTGGTCAGTGAATGCGAGCAGTACAAATATGGATTTTTTTTAAATACTTGTCGATTTTTATTTTTTATCTTGACCACCCTGTATCTGGAAAACGGAGCAATTTCGAATTGGGGTAAGTTGCTTCGAATTGGCCTATATTTTGACCTCAGGAATATGTCCTAGGAATTCGTACAGGGTGTCCCACTTGAATGTGTCATTCCCTTTATCCTCGTAATTCTAAACATATTTTTTCAAAAACTTTTGTGGAATATTTTTGTATGAATTTTTTGAACCTCTACGTACTTTTTCTTTATTAACAAATTACAGGGTTGCTCAGATTTTTTTTTAACGAGATTATATCATCCATATATTTTTTCCATATTTCGATGAAGCTTGTCAATGTGAATTCAGAAATTTTTATCATTCATAATATACAGGGTGTCCGCTAAAAGGAGGTCAATCCTTCAACCATAACATTCCTTGAACAAAAACAATATTAGTTTCTAAATACCATTTTTAATTTTAGCCCTTCACATTCGATATACAGGGTGTCAGAGTTGGAAATTAAAAACTGTTTTTGTTTTCAATTACTCGTGTATTTAATGAGATATTAATCTCAAAATCGGCACATTACTCCAGCACCAAAAGTTACATTGTGTGAGGAAAAAAAACAGAAAATAACTGTCTAATATTCAAAATACTGAGGGTCAAGCACACACTTACCCCCATATTCTTTTTGTACGATGTAATACGAGATGTAATAACTCTTTGTGCTGAACTAATGTACCAATTTTGAGATTAATATCTTATTGAATACGCGAGTAATTAAAAAAAACAGCTTTTAATTTCCAACTTTGACCCCCTGTATATCGAATAATATGAAAGGGCTAAAATGAAAAATAGTATTCAGAAACTCATATTGTTTTTGTTGAAGGAATATATGGTTAATGGATTGACCTCCTTTTAGCGGACACCCTGTATTATTATCGAATAAAATTTTGATCATTCCATTTGAAAACACTTTTTTCTTCATATAGTCACCCTGTATTCTGTTGATATAAAGAAAAAGTGAGCCCAGAATCAAAAACTTCGTAAAACATTATTCCATCAGAAACGTTTTTGAATGGCCAAAATATGTTGAGAATTACGAGGATATAACGAAGACTGACATATTCAGGTAGGACACCCTGTACAGACCTTCCAGGTTAATTTAAAAAAAAATAAAAATTAACCATCTGGAGCGATCGAGATCTGGAGGAATATTATATTGGAGGAAATCTTGAATAAAAATTCATTATATTTGATGAGCTCACCCTTTTAACTTGGAAGTGGTCGGCCCTCAATGTCTCCTGGATCTCCTGGTCAGGCCTGGTCGGCTGAGCCACCGAATTGCGAAAATTGTCCAAAACGCCTTTGAAAGTGAACTTCTTCATAACTTCGCGTCTGTCGTCCTTTTCCCGTCTCATTGCGCCATAACCTGCTGCAAAAGTCCGAAATCAAAAATCGCCAAAAGAGCCCCGAATCTCAAAGAATCTCGATTTCGCCAGCGATATTACACCATCCTGCAGCAAAAATATCGACTGGAATGGAGCCACGGGCGAAATAACGTCGCGTGTTTATACAATGCGCTTCCCGACACCCGGAGTTTCAGCAAAAATCCGGTACCGAGGCGTCGCGACGCGTCTATCTCGTTCCGCTCTCACCGACTCGAAACTCTCTCGCAAAAATTCGATATCGCCGGATATCTGTGATGACTTCGCAAGCCCTAAAATGCTGCGCCAAAGGGCATTCGCTCAACGCGCAAGACCCGAATTCGCAACAAGGTAGTTTTCGCAAACGCAACGTACACAAACTCAAAACTCTCGAAAAGCCCTTCAAAAAGCCAAAATACGCCGCCTTCGCCAGAAACACCACAATTTTCACTACGTTTATCGCTCCTCTGTTGTCACTTTGTTGTTGACAGATCGATATGTCACGAAAAATAATGCCACCACATGTTGCTGAAAATTCTAGGTCCTCACAGACGTTCCTATCAATTTCTCTCTTCAATGCACGAAGCAATATGAGACGGAGAAACAATTGTATGATAATGCGACACTACCTGTTACCTAAAAACAACTTATCATCGTTTACAGCACAGCTGATTTTCTAGGTCAAATGAAACGTCAGATAAGAGCAATCGGAGTAAGTTAGGTTATGTTTGAGAAACTCTAGATCAAGATTCAAGCACTTTCAAGTGGTTTAGTTCCACGTTAGTTGATTAATTACCAGGAACATGATTTTCAAAGTTATTGTGAAGAACTGTTGTGTTGTTTACCATCAAAGAAAACGAGAATTCTGCAAACTGAGGTAAGGTTAAGAAACGCGGGTAATTCAAATTACAAGCTCACTCTCAAGATATCCTAGTCCCATTTCAATTTCCGGGACTAAATTGAGTAGTAGAAGGAGGATGTTCCTAACAGAGTACCTACCTAATATCTCGTAGTTAAAAACTCCCTCGCCTTCATTAAAAAAAATTAAAAATCAATATTCTTCATAAGGTATATTTATTCACTTTGAATCCAAATTCTGTAATTACAAATGAGCACTGTGATTCATACTTTTGCCACTTGCTTTTGCTCATCCTAATATCTCCTAGTCAAAAAACTCTCCAAAGTCTCCTACCCGAGCTCCTACCTTTATTCCAATAACTGAATATGAGTATGCTTCTATATTTGATGATCTCAAGTTATAATTTTACAACTTCAGGAAGTAAAACTTAATGATCAATGAATAATATATCTATATATAGGGATATGTAGGATTTGTTTTCCAAAGAAAATATGGCACCATATATTATATATTCACCGGAGCCCTAGCACTTTTCACTTGGAATGGAATCATTAACACTGAAGAGTTCATGGCCATACCAATGACTTCTCTACAAAATCTCTATTAGCACCCAAATGACATGAAAACCAAAATGGAACTGATGATCCTGAAAGTACAAAATAGTACATTATATCCTACCTAGTAAAATAAAGTGGTATTATTTTGAATCCCTAGACAAAAAGTTGGTGTATATATTATTTTATGTACTTGGGATAGCTGAAATGATAAAAATAACGAAAAAAAATTGAATGCCACTATAGGGTAGGTACTCTCTATTTCTAAAACATCATGGAAGGGGCTAATTGTTACCATATTAACTACCTCAGTAACTATGGTGATCCAGATTTCTGGGAAAAAGTGGTACTTTTAATCCCTACCTATATTTACAGGGTGGCATTGAAATGAATGCAAATATTTCAAACACTGAGAAAGCTGGACATGTACTATGGAATGACACTAAAAATAAATTTAGGGATCAAAATTCAATATTAGGTTAGACCCCGCCGGACCTTGCCTTCCACCCAAAGTTCTACACTATAGCAAATCTGACATCACCTCTGTTCAAATTTCCATGCGGTTAGGCACAATCACACAGAGTTCAATCATTTGAATTGTTTTAATGTGGTGTAGGTACTTGATTTTTTTCTCGAATTTTGTTCAATTTTTATATTTCTTAGACTATTTCAAAAACACCTTGTATATACCTAATATATCTCCTAGTCAAAAACTTCCCTATACCTTTAGTCCAAACACTTAAATCCTCTATATTTGATACAATTTTATAACTTCAAGAAGCAATATACTGAATGATCAATGATCATCACTATAGGGATATCTGTGATTTTTTTTGCACAGAAAATATGGCACCATTTTCACCGGAGCCCTAGCAATTTTCACCTCCAAACAAACCATCAACACTGAAGAATTCATGGCTCTACCAATCACCTCTCTAGAACATCTCTCTTCACAACCAAATGACATGAAAACCAAAATGGAACTGATGATCCTGAAAGTACAAAAAGAATTTTGCGACGCCTTAGAAAAAGAAGACGATTGCAGCAAATTCCTGGTGGACCGTTGGCAGAGGAAAGAAGGTGGAGGCGGGATAACTTGTGTTTTACAGGATGGACAAGTTTTCGAGAAGGCTGGGGTGAACATTTCCGTCGTTTCTGGTACTTTGCCTGCGGCGGCAGTGGCCCAGATGCGGTCTAGAGGGAGAAAATTGGGGGAGGGACAGCTGCCCTTTTTTGCAGCAGGTATGAACAATCATAATAATTAATAATATGACTTTTTATTCCTCACTGTATGACCAAGCATACGGGGGGTCCTGAAATTATATAGAAAAATATCAACCACGGATTCTAGGAACAAAAATAGGAAAAAAAAATAACCCCCTGTTAAGATATCTGAAAGAGGGCCTGAGATCATGTTTTTTTTTATACCGGGTGCCACAAGAGACATGTTACAGCCTGTAGCCTTTTTATTTGAAGAGATAACAATTTGAAATTCTCAAGAGTTAAATTATCAATGATGGCGCTTCTCTTGAACCCAATGATAATTTTCTTCAACCACCTGTTTGATTGGAAGTAGACCCAACTTTGTTTTTTCAAAAGGCACCCTGTATATTTCTGTGGCATATCTCATTGGCCTCGAAATTCTCTATTCAACTATGTATCACAATTCGATATTCGTTCATTAATTGGCTGTTGAATTGCATATTATTGAAATACATGAAGTTGGCTGTGGCCCCAATGCAATGACATTTCGATGCTTGATAGGCTTAAAAATCCAAAGATCATTACTGAGACGATATTATCAGAATATGTTGAGTTTAAAAAAATCATCCGAGAATAACTCACGATATTGAGAATAAAACTAAGATAGAAACTCAGTTTTATTCATTTGGCTACTTGTGAAGAAGCTATTTGTCTTTCATTTTTGCCATGTAGCCATAATATGATTATCCATTTGGATACATGAAAGTGAAATTGTTGTGATAATTGATGTATCGTCCTAATATCGTGAGTTATTTTCGGATGATTTTTTAAACTCAATAAAATTGAAAAAAAAAGGGGGGGGTTTTCATTTAAAAAAATGGTGATGACGTCATTACGCGAAAGTTGTTCATTCTGTATATCAGATTATGATTTGAAATGATATTAAATTGAGATAAAAAATCGACCTGTTTCGGGAATTTCTAGTTTTATTGATCATTCAGCCAATAATGAATTTATGCATTACTTTATATGGACGCACTGTACTATGGGGATCACACAGTACCTATATTTTATACAGTGTGTCCCACTTACCATGCTCACCATGGGTATCTTTTTAACGGTGAGAGATACGAGGTCGGTTAAATGACACCGAATGTGGAGTTTGTCAAGGCCAACTATAATGTGAAAAAATATTTTGATAAAATCTATTCGTTTTTGTTTTATACGCAAAAAACAGATTTTGATCATTTTCATGTCTCCTCCGTAACTTCTTTATTTATGAAAATATTCAAATAGGAATTTCACATTCTCATGGCAGTTTTTCAAAGTGATTTCGAAAAAAATATGAAATTTATACCAACTCTTCTAGAATGTGAGATATCAGCACCAACTTTAGTTTTTCAAATGTAGGTCATAGCTCACTATGACTTAGTTACAAATAACTTTTTTTTCTCTCACAGATGATATGTCGCAGTAATAGTTTTGTGTTGATAACAATGGAGTTATCGTCATTTATACAAAAACAAAAAATTATTTGGGAGCCACCATCTTGAATTTATGAATTTTAACAAAAAAATCATGATCTCCGACCTCAAAAACCCCTACTCACCAATTTTGAATAGAATCGGACCAAATCTTGTCCGCCATCTTGGAGCAGCCATTTTTTTAATTTCAACAAACATTCCATAATGTATTGTATTGTATTATGAACATCTGCCAAATTTCAAGGTAATCGGAGTTATGGAATTTTTGTTGAAATTAAAAAAATGGCTGCTCCAAGATGGCGGACAAGATTTGGTCCGATTCGGTTCAAAATTGGTAAGTGCGGGTTTTTGAGGTCGGAGATCATGATTTTTTTGTTAAAATTCATAAATTCAAGATGGTGGCTCCCAAATAATTTTTTGTTTTTGTATAAATGACGATAACTCCATTGTTATCAACACAAAACTATTACTGCGACATATCATCTGTGAGAGAAAAAAAAGTTATTTGTAACTAAGTCATAGTGAGCTATGTCCTACATTTGAAAAACTAAAGTTGGTGCTGATATCTCAAATTCTAGAAGAGTTGGTATAAATTTTATATTTTTTTCGAAATCACTTTGAAAAACTGCCATGAGAATGTGAAATTCCTATTTGAATATTTTCATAAATAAAGAAGTCACGGAGGAGACATGAAAATGATCAAAATCTGTTTTTTGCGTATAAAACAAAAACGAACAGATTTTATCAAAATATTTTTTCACATTATAGTTGGCCTTGACAAACTCCACATTTGGTGTCATTTAACCGACCTCGTATCTCTCACCGTTAAAAAGATACCCATGGTGAGCCTGGTAAGTGGGACACACTGTATAGCAGTTTTATTCGTCCAGGTATAAGCGCCGTAATCCATCCGGTGAACCCCATGGTACCCACCATCCACTTCAACTACAGGTACTTCGAGGTGCGAGACGACGAAGGGACGCAATGGTGGTTCGGCGGCGGTACCGATCTGACGCCGTACTATCTGAACGCCGCGGACGCCGTTCATTTCCACCAGACGCTCAAGAACGCTTGCGACAAGCACGACAAAACGTACTACGGCAAGTTCAAGAAATGGTGCGACGATTATTTCCATATTCCGCACAGGGGGGAAAGGAGGGGGGTCGGGGGGATTTTTTTCGACGATTTGGATAGTCCCGGTAGCGAGGAATGCTTTGAGTTTGTCACCGAGTGTGCCAATTCCGTCATTCCCTCGTATATTCCTCTAGGTGAGTAACTACGGCTTCGTTGTAATATTGTTATGATTGACTTCAAGTTGTGCATTAAATGTCCATGATAATTAAGTATGAACTGATGATGATTTGTAAGTATTCATCATTTTCTCATTGTCATTTTGCTGAACAAAATCGAGAGGACCATTGTTCCAAGGCTAAGGACTTTTATTGTATTGTGAAGTTGGCTACAAAGATGTAAAATGTGAATAAAATCGGCAGCACAGTCGAAAGTAATGTATTTCTGACAGATCAGGAACTGTTGAATTGTTAATCATTCAGAATAAGAGCAAGAATAACTTCTTGGATTTTCCTTTTTAAAAATTAATTACAATGAACACTGCCAGAAAACGATGTATTCCGATAAATTACACTCAATTTGACAGTAACTGCTGCCAATAGCACGAAACATGTCTAACTCTCGGCATAGGGTAGATTAACATGTTCTCCCTATTGCAACCTCATCTGATGACTTTGTAGTTCGCCAACATGAAGGACCATAGTATGAGATCAGCAGACTATACAACATTCCAAATAAGAATATAGTCGGTGGCGATGCCTCTAAAGGAATGTTCGCACTGACAAAATAAAAATATAGCGTCTAATTCAAATTCATGGAGAATTCTAATGACCGAGTTCCACTTTGTTATATTGCCTTCAATATTAATCAATCATCGCGAAGGTCAGCCCTTGCTAATGGTGTCCAATGCTGGCAGTAGTTATCCCGCCACTATAGCCCAGCTCCTCCCCTCCACCTTTCTCCAAGCCACATGACCCGACTAGCCAATCAGAGGCCAGCTTTTGGTTGGAGACCAAGCCCACCGAAACGTCACGGAACACCAATGAAATGTCACGGAACACCACTGAAATGTCACTGAAACGTCACATAACACCACGTGACATTTCCGTGGTGTTCCGTGACATTTCAGTGGTGTTCCGTGACGTTTCAGTGACATTTCCGTGGTGTTCCGTGTAATTTCCGTGTCGTTTCAGTGGTGAAGGGGAGAAGCTGGGCTATAGCGGCGGGATAACTACTGATGTCTTCTCAATTAGAAAGGACTATTATGTAGGTTATCCAAAATCAAATTCATGATGTTTCTTCTGAATGAAGTAATTCATGTTCTAGTATTTTTTTCTAGTACAAAGGCACAAAACCGCGAAATACACAAACGTGGAAAGAGAATGGCAACTGCTGAGAAGAGGGAGATACGTTGAATTCAATTTGATTTATGACAGAGGTACCAAGTTTGGTTTGTACACACCCGGAGCAAGATATGAGAGTATACTCATGTCATTGCCTCTTCATGCGGTAAGCTCCACTTTCTGATTGGTTTCTGATAATTCATCACATAATTTTTTGAGGAATTTTCAGAGATGGGAATATATGCATGTGCCTAAAGAAAATACACCGGAGGGAGAACTATTAGCAGTACTCAGAAATCCCAAAGATTGGGTAGAATATTCCTGTGAAGACGAAAACAAAACAAGTTGAACAAAATTGTATTCGGGATATAATGATTGTTGTTAATTAAAAAGAATATATTTTTACTAATTATGTTTCAATAACATCAATGCAAGTTCCTCTGCTTCATTTATTGAAAGTGAAGAGCTTATCTGTTCTATCTTTTGTTTCTTTCTCTTCAATCTCACAGGAATTAATTTTTCTTCACTTTCTTTCAACTTCCTTTTTTGGCCCCTGAAAATAATGTATTCGTCAATTCCAAATAAGTGCTGATTGTGGAGATATACTTGAATTGAATAAATCGGGTGATAGCGAAATCATTGGCTAGGGCATCATTCTGTTTTTTTTTTTTAATATAAGACTTGATATTTGGATCGAAGATATAGTTCCTTAGAACCAATATTTTCCATAAAAAACCAATTAAATATCACGTCCAGTTTTACGGGAGATAGGCCTCGGTCGAGAATTTCGAATAGAGCCCTCGCGAACGAAAAATTTCCTTTCCAATGGCAGGATATATTTTATTTGAAATTAGTAACCTAATAAAATAGCAAATGAACGAACTATGCTAGAATGTTAATTCATCGCCAATTAGGATTTCTTCTAGTGATTCTTTTGAATGACATTATTTCTCTTAAATTTTCTTGAAAATTATGATTAGGAAATGGTACTTTTTTAAATTCCATATCAAAGTATAGTATAACTCAGTCAAAACAAATATCTGCTTGACACACTAACTATGTCTACATAAAAATTATTATGTTTCAAAACTAACCCAAAAACGAGAGGCGTAGTGTGTCAAGCATTTATCTCTATCTACTGATTTGCACTTGAACGTCAATTAAAAAAAATCATTTCCTATTAGAAATTTTGAATCAACTGCAGAAGAAAGAATTACTAAAAGGAATTCTGCTAAAAGTCTTTCGTATATTTGCTATTTCATTAGGTTTTTTGACGAAAATTCGATCAATGACGTCATAGTGTCGCCATATTCATTCTCCTGTGTCGTCATATTGAACTCAAATGTCCACTTGTGATATATCATTGAAAAGAGAATCTGTTTGCTCCATCGAATTGCGAAAAAATATCTACAGGGTTCCATTCAAAATTCTCGACCTAGGTCTATCTCCGGTAAAACCGGAAGATATATTCAACAGTTTTTCCATGAAAAATATGTTTTAAGGAACTATATCTTCGATACAAATACCAAAAGTCTACCATGAAAATCAACTTGATGACGCACCGGCCAACAATTTCGTTGTCACCTTGTATAAGATAAACATCACATGTCACTCTGAAGTGTTCTTATGGAAATCAGTTTCTGCTTCAATATTCTAGGCAAAGTTAAACTCCGTCACACCTTCATTTTTTTGATTAACAAAAGGAAAACCGATAAAAAAACTTACTTTTCTTTACTTTTCTTCGATTTCCTCTTCGCCTGATTCTGTTCCCGTTCCTGCTCTTCACCTTCATCCCCCTCTAACTCGCCTCTCGACCCCTCCAATTCCTCCCCACCCTCCCCTCCATACACCTTGTCTGGATCAGGCAACCAAGACATATCTGGCCCCTCGTCCGACTCGCTCTCTCCGAAATCGTCTCTCGCCCCCTCCCCTTCCTCCCTCTCCCTCCTCTTCTGCTCCTTCAGCTTGCGCTTCTCCTCCTTGTGCTTGGCCTTCACTTTCTGCTTGAACAGCTGCTTATCGAACCTGCAGAACGACATATCGACTGTTAGACCAGATAGGCCTTTTCTAGTGAGCTTTGTTTTTTCACCGACTAGTTTCGGTTCGGAAATCACGGTTTGATTGGTTCATTCGAACAGCCAATAAATATGAAAACTTTGAATTTGTTTCTGGAATTCTCTTAGGCTCCGCCCACCAAGAATGCAGACCATTGAATTCTTTGGCTCCGCCCACTGAGAATGCAGACGATTGAATCCTTTTAGGCTCCGCCTATCGAGAATGCAGACAAATGAATTCTCCGCTCATCAAAAATGCAGACGATGGAATTCTTTGAGGCTCCGCCCACCGAGAGTACAGACGATGGAATCATACTAGACCCCACCCACCGATATTGCAGACAAATTAATCCTCTTAGGCTCCGTCTATCAAGAATGCAGACGATTGAATTCTCTTAGGTTCCGCCCACCGAGAATGCAGACGATTGAATCCTTTCAGGGTCCGCCTACCGAGAATGCAGACGATGGAATTCTCATAGACTCCGCCCATCGATACTGCAGACAAATGAATTATCTTAGGCTCCGCCCATCAAAAATGCAGACCCATCGATATTGCAGGCGATGGAATTATCTTAGGCATTGCCCATTGATATTGCAGAATTCTCTTAGGCTCCGCCAATCCATAATGCAGATGATAGATTTCTTCAAGGCTCCGCCCACCAAGAATATAGACGATGTAATTATCCTAGGCTCCACCCACCGGTATTGCAGACCAATGATACCGCTTAGGCTCCGCCCACCAAGCATGCAGACGATTCAATTTTCTTAGGTTTCGCCCACCGAGAATGCAGACGATGGAATTCGCATAGACTCCGCCCATCAGTCCTGCATACAAATAATTTCTCTTAGGCCCCGCCCATCGAAAAAGCAGACGATGGAATTCTCTCAGGCTTTGCCCATCGATATTACAGACGATGGAACCATCTCAGGCTCCACCCACTGATATTGCAGAATTTTCTTAGGCTGCGCCAATCTTTAATGCAGACGATGGAATTATTCCCTATCCTCCCTAGGAACGCACGATGTTCTTTGAACATTATAGGGATTCCCTTTCGTGCGCTCCAAGCGATACAAAAAAACCGATTCGAGGAATATCGGTTATCTGTCAAACTTCCTTCAAACCTTTTTACAAAAAAAAATCCCTAGTGGCCCAAAAAAGACTCGGATTCGAAATCATCGTAGCCATGTTTATTCATTACCTGTCTTCCTCTCTGAGTACCATCTTGGCCTTCTCAATATCGATCCCCCCTTCGTCCTCGTTCTCGTACTGCAACGCCATCTCGGACTTCTTCTCCTTGTTACCGAGCACAACCTCCCCCTCTTCATCGAAGACGGTCTTCTTGTTGGGCACGATCTTCTTCTTCAGGATCTTCTTGGCCGCAGCCGCTTTGGTGATCGCTTTCTTGCCCTTGTTCCTGCCCAAATCCAGATCGGCCAGTTCCTTTTCCGTGGGCAATTCGATGTCGTGGTCTTTCCTCTTCACTCGGAAGATGTCTTCGTTGTCGCTGTCATCTGTCAATTGGAAAGGCGCCTGTTGCTCCTCTTCGCTAACTCCGCTGTCCTCGGATTCCTTTTTAACTTGTACTTTTTCGTTATCTTCTTCGCTATCGTCGAAGTATTTCTTTTTATTTGGATTCACCCCGAGGGTACTCGTGTTTTTGCTACCCTCTATTTTGGAGTTCATTCTCTGCAAAAACCTTATCCTAGGTGGAATGGCTAGACCCAGCGATTTAGCGTAGCTATCTGTGTTCAAAGAGTGAACGTCGAAAACTTCTTTATCTTTCATTAAAAATACTGCCTTCGCATAGGAAACGAAAGCTCTTTGAGCAGAGTCCTTCAATGAAGGATCTTTGGCGAGGTAGGCTTCCATTTTTCTCACGGGATTGTTGAGTCGGTTCGGATTTATCCTGAAAATTGTTATCATGAATAGGATATTCACTTTATGATAATTTGAAATTTTCCATGTGAATAATTATTGTCGATGAAGTTGACAATTCGAAGAAGCGATTTCTGAATTTCAATTCGAATTGAACTAACTAATTTAAAATTGAAGTGTATTCTTTTCGTATCTCAGTAGACAAGAACACAAGTTTCTATGATAATAGACTCAGATAATTTTTGATCGATTTGATTGAACCTAGAACGTGCTATAACCTACCTTATTAGTAATCAACTGTAAACTTGTAGAATTGGCAGTGGGTGAATCTATATTGATGACATTTACTACATCAATGAATATTGAATCATTTTGATAGTTCACAGTTGGATGGATTCGAAGATTTTATTTATCAAATCAGCATTACAATTCTTTTCTCTTGAACCCGTACCAATATTACGTCAAGACATATCTTTAGTTTTTCGCAAATATCATCACTCAAATTATGAAGTAAACGTCGATGTAATCAGGCAATTGAATGTTTCGCCATTTTTTGTAGGTGAATATATCGACTATATATATATTCTAGGGTTGTGAAGTATTCGCCAGGAGCTTCAAAAGGATGTATCACAAGATCCCTTTTCCATTTCATTTTTTTATCCAGTTGGCACCCAGCCGCCATCTTGAAATTTTCATCTGTCAATTTTACTCCAAAATATAGCATTTATGCATCAATTTCATCACTCCAAGTTTCAATTTTTTCAGGTGACCCATTCGAAAAATACAAGGGGCGTTGAAGAAAATCTGTATAACTGAAATATTTCGTTTCATTACTACGAATAACAGCTGTTATCAGAACATTATTAGATTGCTCATACAATATTCAAACAGGTGTAGTTTCGTACACATTTTGCTCCAAATAGCCCCATGAAAAATACGTCTAAACGTGTCAGATCTGGCTGGCCATTCCGTAAAACCGACCAGTCGCCATCTCGAAATTTTCATCTGTCAATTTTACTCTAAAATATAGTATTCATGCATCAATGTCATTTATACAGTTCAAATGTTTTCCGTTGACCCGTGCAAATAATAAAAGGGGGGCATTTAAAAAAAACATTGTATTTACATTTGAATTGAATTCACACAATTGTGTTCTTGCCTATTGACACTTCTTGAATGAGGACAAACAATATCATTCTCACCAGTAGGCGATGCTAGAGCATGAGGTCAAAGTCAAAAGTCACTACATTTTATCGGGTAGTTCTGAACGAAAGTTTTTCAAAATACAGGCGTCATTTTTTGAAAAACTTTCTGAAAAAATGCGTGGCCTAAGTACACAAATAGAACAACTTGAGGTTTTGGCGGATTTCCAGGTTATCAGATGACGTTACGATGACATTTAACATTAGGGAAAACACCTCTGATATTCAATCTAAGCCATGTTTGTTCATTGCTAAACGTCATCGCATCGTCAGATTGTGACCTTGAAATTCGCTAATGGTTTGCCTTACGTAGATTTGCGTTTATTACTCCCACTGTGCAACTTTTCGCGAAATTTTCACATCAACAGAGAAGATAGCATAGAAAGATGCCAAATGAAACGAAAAGAAGTAGTCAACCAATCAGTTATACCAACCTTGACCTCACGTTCTAAGTAGCGCGATCTGGTGGATAATCAAAATATGTTAGATGCGCAAAACCTACTCGATCTGCTGCACAGGAATTTTCTTCTCCACCAGCTTGTCCACCATAGCGACCTCTCCTGGCAACAGCAACAACAAACTCTCCCCGCCCCTCTGGTACCTCGCAGTCCTGCCCACCCTGTGTATATACGTGGCCGGATCCTCGGGGCAGTCCGCCTGCACCACCCAGTGCACCTGTTTTATCATTTTTGAAATTTCATAGTGAGACACAAATAGCCGGGGATGCAAAGAGGCTAAATAGGGATTTAGCGTCGTGGGGCGTTACCCCCGATACTAACAAGGCCTGAAGGCTCGTAGTGAACAGCTCGTGACGTCAGGTAACTGAGGCCACACGTTAAATTCGTGTGTCGACTGTCGTCAGTTTGTTTAGGTATGTTCGATCAGGTATGTTTGGGAAACGGTCGCGTGCCCGAATTATTTTGTTGTTTATTCATCAAAATAATTGGCAGAAAAATTACTGTTTTGAGAAATATTTTGTGTTGTGATAGGCAAAATAACAATGCCTTTCAAGTGTTGTGTTTCCTTTTGTCGGGGGAATTATTAGGGTGCATGGTCCAAAAGTGCATGCTTTTAGTTTCCCGTTGGACAAGGAACTATCGAAAAAGTGGGTATATGCAATTCTCCGCGAGGCTTTTACTCTATCTAAGTACAGTAGAGTATGTGAATTACATTTTACTAAAGATGCTATTATTAGTTCATCTACTGCAACCGATTCTGAAACTGGCAAAAATGTAATAATAGATTTGAGAATTCCTATGGCTCAAACGAGATATGTTATTCCTGCTCGATTTCCTAACTGTCCATCTTATTTATCGAGAGATGTAAAATTACGCACAAGTCGTGATGAAAAACTCGAGATACTAGACTAAAAATTTGGTAAAAGCACTTACCAAAAGTAAAACTGAATTCGAAAATTACCAAAAATAATTTTGCTACACAGAATTTCACTAATTTCTAGTTGTCGTTGAGTCTTATCAGTTGCCAGAAAAGTGGTTCAAAATTATCGATTTGCATAAAATGATAGATTGGTTAGAAACTTGGAAATCTGCAAATTCTACCGATAAACTAACAAAGTTATACAATATTGTTTTAACGAACTCAAGATGAATTATGTTTTACTAGGAAAATTTCAAACAGATGATTTGGAACATAGGTTATGGAAAAATATCGTCAAATTTCAAGTGGACAATATCACATATCTATTCGACAACTCTATGAATCGAAAAAAGGCTCCGAATTCAATCACTGCTCACGCTAAAATCTCTAAAATATTGTGTAACGCCTCAACTTATTATACATATGTTATAGTTAATGCTAGGATTATTTATCATGATCATTTCAAAGATTGTTATCATTATTTTGATTATTTTTGTTAATTCCTATTATTATAGGTGCAGGTATTTGTTAATTACTTTTATTGACACACTGGTAAATTGAATGGATACATTCGGTATATTATAATACATTTTTTATGGGTGAATCATCAGCGGTATGTTCGAATCATGTTTGATGTTGTATAATCGTAAGAATGCTTCAAGAATGTGATTCATTAGTGTTCGTTGTGTACTGGCGTGAGCATCGTCAAATAAAAGGAAATAAGTGAAATAATCGGAATAATTGATTTCACCGAAGAAATCCAAGAAAATCGCTCTTTCAATCCAGATATCATAGTCGAGGAATCTGATATAGATAAATATAGTGATGCCATGCCGGTATTAGCAGGTAATTGTTGCTATATTACACTTAGAAAATTTCAGTGCGAATTTTGTAAACAGAACTTAATTTATGTTGATGATTTAATAATAGAAGACAATTACACTCTCATAAAAAAGTATGAGCAGAGGAAAATTACTCTATCCGCAAGCTTTGATTGTGCAGTTAGTTTTGTATTCGTATTTTGAATTCAACAAAATCATCTCTGAATTCGAGGAAATATTCTTGAATGTTCATAATACGGGCATGCTACTACTTAAAAATTGCTGTTTCAAGTCAACGATCAAGTGGGTAAAAAAGCCAACAACAGGAAATTGCAAACTGACTATAATTTTTTAGGTAATCGGGATTCTCCAAGATAAATATAGGTAATTATAACCAACGGCATGTCTATCAAAATAAAATACATTTTCTCCGATTTTCTTTCGATCAATCTCACGATAAGTTTATGTTCTACGGGCCCTGTATGAGTAGGTGTGAAGTTTAAGTCTAATGAGATTAAATCACTACAATATATATAATTCGAATGGGTTGCTGTAGAGTGGTATTTGTGTTTTATTCTGGTTTTTGCTTTGAAACTTCGTTTTTCCATAATGAAATCGAATGGGATGCGAAGAAGGGCTCAGTTGACGACTGACATCCTGTTTTAACCAGAAGCCCTTCAAAAAAAACAGCAAAATCGGCTCAATAATAATCTGAAACTAAAATTGAAATACGCGGTCGCCTTATAGCGCCATAAGCGCTTGTCGTTTCGAGCCGCTATTAGGCCTCACGGAAGAATGCAGGCCTTATAATCTCGATGGTAACGGTATGTCCCGGCCGCGATTTTACTAAATATACTGCACGCTAGCACAATCCACGCCCACCATAATACGTCATATCTCCAAACGTGGCCAGGTAGCCGTGCGGACAGAGTGTCCATATTCTAATCCGCATTCGCTTGCCGGTCGTGGGTTCGAGTCCCGTCGACTACAGAAGTTTTTCTGATGGCCCAAGAAAGTGTTTGGGATCACACGTTAAAAGGTAAGGCCCCCGTCATTCCTTGCTCGCACAAGACTCTCGAAGACTTCTGAGGGTTGCTCGTAAGGGGGCAACCGAATGACGGATAGAACAATAGAACAATTTTAGAACAATTACCGATATACTCGGAGTCAGCACATCGCACTAAATATACTGTGCTCCCACGCAAGAATACACTTTTTATGATTTTGACAAGAATTCGACTGAAGCTCTCTCGTTGTCAATCTCTTGTACGCAGTAAATTCATATACCCAAATGGTCTACTGGTTAGCGCTGTCGACTTTCAGTCTGAAGGTCCATGGTTCGAATCGCTGTGAACTTGAACTTTTTTTTGCAACTTTTTTTTTTCACCAATGTTTTTTTACTTCATTCTGGTTTTCCTTTTTCATAAAATATTTGAAGTCAAATAGGTTAGTGCGTTTAGGATAAACAGGCTCATTTTATTCAATTTTGTTGAAGAACTCAACTTTTGAAATATATTATTAATCAATGTGTTTCTACACTCCATTCGGTTTTCCTTCCTCAAAAATATTGCAATCAGGGATAGGTTAGTTCGTTGAGGATAAATAGTCTCTGAGTTTTGCCTAAGTAAAGTGCTTTGAAGATGAGATATAACGGTGGGCGTGGTATGTGCTATAGCGTACAGTATATTTAGTAAAATCGCGTCCCGGCCGACCCTGCCGTCAATGCGTATATGATATATTGATAAATCTATATAGCCAAATAAACTATCAATCTATTCCCGATAGAAAATAACACATCGCCTCACCTGACGGCAACAACTTGAATAGCTAATGTGAACCAATGAAAACAAAGTAATCAAACCACTCTGACAGCTTTCGAAAATTCCGATAGGTGGCGCATGCTTATTTTTTATCGCGAATTAATTTACCTCGGGGAAGTCGAGCCCTCTGGCGGCGAGGTCTGTGGCGAAGAGGATGGCCGAGTGTTTCCTGCAGAAATTTTCGTATATGTCCATGCGGCGCAGCTGGTGCAGGGTGCCATAAAGGGCCATGAGGCTAGTGCCTGGTCGCAACCTCAAAACAAACAATTCTCATGACAGGTCAGTTGTTGATAGTGATTCTTTGTTAGGCTTTTAGTCCGACTGCTTTGGAGTGTTTTACAGACACCGAAACTAGAATTTTGATTAGTGATTTTTCACCAGTCTTCTAGTCCGACTTTTTTCTATGTTCTGGTTCCCACGAAAAGGAATATCCTGTGATGTTCAGAGAACATAGTGAGAACCAAGGCAAATGAGGTAGGAATTGGTGTTCTTCTTTAATTTCTGGAGGTTATATGCCTCGGATAACACCTTCCTTGGCAATGTGTTCCAGAGCCTCGCTGTTCGTTGGATGAACGAGTCTTTGGAAAGAGATGTTCTATGTTCTGCAGGTCTCCGAAGTGACCACGAAGGGGTGCGAAGCCCCAACTCGACGGGTTAATCTCGCGGGGACTGCCAAGGGAGGAACAATTGTTGATATTTCAGAAGAGCATCGTCCATGAAAATATCCATAAAATAGAGCATATGTCTCGGGGAACATCTCCCTTGGCAATGTGTTCCAGAGCCTCGCTGTTCGTTGGATGAACGAGTCTTTGAAAAGAGATGTTCTATGTTCTGCAGGTCCCCGAAGTGACCTCGAAGGGGTGCGAAGCCCCAACTCGACGGGTTAATCTCACGGGAACTGCCAAGAGAGGTACAATTGTTGATATTTCAGGAGAGCATCGTCGTTATTGGGCAGAATCCAACAGTTTCAGGGTATGTTTGGGTGCTGCACTCCAAATATGATGGGATCGGATATGTGCCTTATAAATTATAAGCAGCTGGCTGGAAGTGAAATAGCTCCTGGCCCAAAACAGAAGACCAAGTTTTTGGGATGCACTTTTAGCAATTGACCTCACGTGATTTTCCCAAGAAAGGTAATTGCTGATAGTAATACAAAGCATCTAAATGAATGTCTTCAAAGGTATGGTTACTCCTGACAAGCTTATATTGGGCACAGTGAGATCGGATTTTCTAGAGAAAAGGCATGCTTGTGTTTTGTTTGCATGGAAATCTACCAAGTTATGGAATCCCTACCTTACAGAATTGAAGCAATATCCTCTCTAAAGGTATTCAAAAAGAAATCTGGGAACTTCTGATATCTTTGGAACCATCATACAGGATGAGTGAATATCTAGATTCAGAGATGGAAACCAACACAACATTTTAAGGATAAATATTTCATATTGTATGTCCCTCAGTTGTCTGAGTTAGTTGTTTTTGTGACGCCTGTTTCTATCACCTTTCACGGGTTCTGTAGATTTGTATAAGGTTAGTTTTTCCAATAAAGACTATTATTATTATTGAAATGGTGGACAATCTGGCCTTCAGAGCCATCTAGTGGCAAAAGTTTCGCGATAGAAAATAACACGTCGCCCCACCTGCTGGCAACAACTTGAACACTGCGTGAATGAGTCGAACGCAACGCAAAACAGTATTTCTTACATCAGCTTTCTGTGGAATCAAAATGGCAAAACAGTATTTCTTACATCAGCTTTCTGTGGAATCAAAATGAAATTCATTTGGAATTTCTGAGTCTTGAGCTAGGTTGTTCAAAATAAAGTTACTTGGTTTATTTTGTAAACCAATATTTGGGATGAGTGATTTGAACCACTCAAATTAGTTGTACAATGAAAATGCTGAATATCATTAACCTATTGATTTTACTTTAAAAAATGTACTCAATACTATTATGACATTTTTGAATGCCATTTTGTAAACTGAGTTAGACTGAGTGACAAAAAAATAAAATGGTGAAAAAACATGTTGATTTGTTTGTTAAATTCTAATGGAAATTCACACATTTTTCAAGACTCATGGTTGAAGGTCAGGAATTTCAGGTCCAAATAAAAAAATTCAAGATTATACATTCAATAGGTACAATGACAGATAAATTCAATATATTGATAACATATCAGACTCTTGAAAAATGCATACCTGAAGATTTTCTAGGTCAATATGATATCCCTCATCATTTCTGGCATGATTTCTATCAGAATGCAAACAAAGAAAATAGATTTCCAGGCAAAATTTTGAAATTCAAGATGTCACCTTTAAGATTGCAAATTATTATTTCACTTTTTGTTATTATTTTTTTGGTAATCAGGAGTACCTACCTAATGTTGAAAAATATGGAAAAAGAACAAACCCAAACCTTTGAGAAGCTCAAAAAATATTTGGTGAATCATGTTCACTATTTTTTTTTTGACTTTCCAGATATTTAGTTTATTTTTAAATGGCTGTCTGTTATGATTATCATCATGAAGACAAATAATAGAACCTCCTAAATAAACTGGAAGACATTGCTGTAGGAATCAAATTCAGGACTAAACAATATGACAATCTCCAAAGCAGTTGGGTAAAGTAAAAAAATCCCACTGTATTTACTTACTTGCAGAATATTTCATACATATACTTAACCTGCTTACAGCTAGAAAAAAATATAATAATCTTCTTATTTGGATGATTTTTAATAAAACTCCAAAGGATAGATACTTTGTCTTCCAATTCACAAACAACATAACTCTGTGACAGCTCTTTTGGGGTGCTGAACTCAGAATGTTCATGAACACTTATATAAGAAGGATCTTTCAAACTCAGCCTAGCAAGATCTTTCACAGATTTTGTTTGTGTAGCAGAGAATAGTAAAGTCTGCCTCTTAGGGGGCAAATTTGCAATAACAGCATTCATTGTTTGTTGGAAACCCATGTCTAGGCACCTGTCAGCCTCATCCAGTACTAAAATCTGCATATTTACACAGTCAAATAAAGGGTTTTCATCCATATGTTGCAGAAGCCTCCCTGGGGTGCAAATAATGATATTACACTGGTCCATGCGGTTTCTTTCAAATTTCAAATCTTTGCCCCCAATTATCAAACCAGCTGAGAAATCATGATGTTCTCCTACTTTACGTAAAGTCTCAAAGATCTGATATGCCAGCTCTCTTGTAGGAGTGATTACAAGAGCTCCTAACCCATCTAATCTTGTCCACTGTTTGACAAATAGCTTTTCCAATAGAGGTATGAGGAAAGCTAGTGTTTTTCCTGAACCAGTTTGAGCAGCACCTAGAATGTCTTTGCCTTGAAGGGCTAAACCAATGGTTTCTTTCTGGATTTCAGTTGGCTTATTATAGCCACATTCCCGCAGGCCTTTCAAGGTTTTAGCAGATAGAGGAAATTCTCCAAATTTTGTTATCTGACTGGGGTCAATCTAGAAAAATCATAGTCCCACATAATTTGAATTTCAACATAATTCTACTTTAGAGACACTCACAGTTTCATATCTGGCCTGAAGCTTCTCAATAATCAGTGTCTCTGGGTCCTTTTCCTTTCTCTTGGTTTTTTTCGTGAAAACATGAATTTTCTTCTTTTTACTTTTCTTTTTTGGTTCAGACATTTTTATATCATTATTATTTTATTTTCAACTTTCAACCATGAAATGTGTGGAGCATTGAGGTTAAAATTCATCAAATGACATTTCTTCTTTTCTTCGTGCGAGATGGGAAGTTCAGGACATTATCATTATTTCTTCTTCTGTCTTGTTGGACCTAATAATATCACTACATAATCACAAAACTTTGTGTTTTGTGCCTCAAAACTCGTGACTTTGATCGTGACACCGCTTGTCAAATTAAAAATTAAATAATTCTTGTTTCATGCGTTTTACCTTTGTCAATTTTGGCATTAATTTAAATATAGAAAAATACAAAACAAACTCTTGTTGAAGAAAAAAAATTAATTAAATTCTAAATTATGACCGACTTCAAAGTAGTTACTTCAGATTTTCTGAACCTTCAAATATCTACCTCAAAAAATGATATATCCTTCAATGAAAAACGATTTCCTAAAGATTTGATAATATCAGATTTGAAGGTAGGCAATGTGGAACTGTAATAATTATCAACCATTGATTTTTTTTTCTGCTATACTAGGTCAAATTGGAGATGATTACTGGAGGTAGCTGCAGCACAATGAAAATACAAGCATTCAACAAAAATGACCAGTTAATATGTGATTTAGACAAAGATGAAACTCTTCTAGGATCATATCCACTGGAAGATGGCATGAGGCTACATGTCATTGATCAGTTCCAACTCAGAAGCGATCTTGATTTATCAAATGTACCCAAATATGAAATAACAGATGATGAATACAGTAAAAAATCTGATTCTGTTAGATCATTCTTACAAAAAAATAAATTGGGTGAGTAATCATATACCTACTGATCTATTGTATAGGTACATACATGCAGGCCAGCTTGTGTGGACAGCAAATCCTTAGTATGAATTTTCAACAATGATAATCCCAAACAATATCAGATGATGTTGCTATTGATGAAAACATAAAATCATTTCAAAACTAGAGAGTCTGCAGAAGTTCACTTTGGTTACTTGTGAATAATAGTCTTTGTTGCTACTCAATTGATATATTATATGCTGGGTTTATAGATTCAACTTAACTAAGAATTAAACTAACAACTGAATTCAAAAAGTTGAACACAAAGGAACATCTATGAGGGTTTATATATTTACATCTGTCATTTAAATAAATAATTACAAAGTTGGGCAACTTTCAACTTAACAACTTGAGAATTAGTAAATTCTGGAGGCAGAACATGAAGATTGGATATGTTATTGTTCAAATGGAGATTAGTGATATTTAATTGGAATATTTTTCATGGATTCATGAATTGTGGAGACCAAATTCACTGTTTATCACTATTTTGATCTTTGGTCAAAAGACATTCCATATGGAATTCTTAATTATTATCAGATATGTATACAACACCCTCATAATTATCAATTGTTGGTTGTTAATTGATAATTCCTAATTATTATTTAAATTGTATCTTTGAACCCAGCATTCGGGTTTTGAAAAGAACCTTGATTATGAATATTTGCACAAACAACTATTCACCTGGTATTTTATTGAAGTCTGAAATATTCTTTTCTACTTCACATGGAAATTATTTTGGCAGAAAGCAGGTAAAAGTATGGAGAAATCCAAAAATATGAAATATCAATCATATACCAAGAGTTGCACAGTAGTCTTGAGTCTCAAAAATTAACATTGACACTAGAAAAATGAAAGTTGGCCAACCTGTTAGTTCAAGTTTAGTTTCAATTTCTCTCTGCATAAAATTACCCATGTGTAGAGTGTAGAGGTTCAACTTTCTAGTTAGAGTTGAAGTTTAAATGTAAGTTTGAGTTTAGTTTAAATTTGTACTGCATAAATCCATATAGAGGTAGACATCCACTATTCCACTCCTTAGAAACAATGACATGATGTCACACACTGGACTATATTATTTATCTTCATCTTCAGCTATTTTTCACTATAACTTCACACAGTTTTTCTCACAACTTCCATTTTTGTAAGGAATTGCTGAAAAACATTAATTATTGTTTCACCAGCCAGTTTCAAATTCAAATATTATTTTTTTTCAATGGGAGGGTAACATGAGCAGATTGCTTCTGAGACAAGTGATAGATAGAGGGAAATTTGATAAGTAAATTGTTCCTTAAAAAAAAGAAAAATAATGAGAACAGGTCAACTGTTGTCTATACATATATACCCGGAATAGGTGGAATAAAAGTACCTTGTGAAAATTGGGTGACAAAATGCAAATGCAGAGGAGGAGATTGTAGATGTGACAGATCAAATTGTTGTTCATTTTCAAACCAAAATATACAGTCTTTCTTCTCTTTGACAAATAGAATAGAGAACTGGAGATTCTGTACAAGGTTGCCTAGGTTATTTGAAACATCAAATCGAGTGATTGATCCTGATTGACGGATTTCAAGGTCATCAGGTTAGGATGACATTTAGCAATAGGCCTTTTCATGTAGATAAATTTTCAAGACGCATGCGCTCGTTTTTAGATCCAAAATTTGATTGGGTAATGCGAACGTGAAATCTCATTGGCTATAGTTCCGACCCAAAATTCTAATTGGCCATTACGGATATGGCGGTTTTTATTGACGTTATTGACGTTCTGTCAAATGTCAACAGTGTCAACCACCATGGGTATTCATCATTGAGAAACAACAATAACAATATAGTATTTTCGTTACTATATTACTTGTGTGAATTAATTGTATTATAATAATAATTTAAATCGAAAAAACGTTACTTATTCGTTAATGAGGAGTGTGGTCAAGTGTTTTGGTGAAAATGGCCGTCACTATCGTTGGATGCGAGATGTAAACACAGATAGTCATTTGTCATCTAAATGAAAAAGCATAAATAGGGAAATGTTTTTCCATATATGTACTATCTCTATATATGGTGCATCGCCTATACGATATCTCATCAAAAATGGGACCAAAATGAGAGGTACTTTTTGAATCTATAAGGACGGAAAGTGAAGGATGGAAACAGCCATATTGGTTACCTATAGAGAATGATGGAAGTAAGATATGGTGTAATTACTGATGCGCTTTTGGTTCAGAAATTTTTCTCGACCTCTCAAGCAGCGAGAGCAATGGTTCCGGTGATCTTCTAATAGATGGCGACATTGCACAATTATGACTTCTGTCAGTTTTGAAATTGTCACAGATTTTTCGAATTCAGAGTTGTTTAATCCCACTGTTACATAATAATATGTTCCGCGTGCCTAAAATGGCATTTGCCATTTTATTTCCACTCGTCACAGCAGCAATAGCAGCATCACCATCTAGCGGGAAAATGTAGAATCAACGTCTCGCTCGTTGTGACGTAGAGAAATCATAGTAGGCCGGTCGAGTGATTTTTCTGAAATTTTCAATATGTAATAATGGCCGAATACGCACACCATATATTACTTCCATAAATCTATAGAGACAGAAGATGGTCCCGCTTTGAGGACAGCTATAATTCATATATGAGTGTAGATATATATGGTTTTCCCCATGGATGAACGTCTTCGCAACGTCAGATGACCTTGAAATTCGTCAATTGGTCTGTATCACTACTCATATTCGCGGTCGTGACATTCAAAATTACGGGAAACATCCTGACTCCTTCAAAGATTTTTTCCGTTAGTTTTTAATGACTTTGGCGACCGCGAAAAAGTGAAGAAACAACTATTCATCATTCATCCTAATAGTTTATAGAAAAGTTAGTGATATTTTTCTATCCTATACATATAGTAAAGCTTGAAATCATTGATATCACAAACTAATTACACATTCAATTGAATACATATCAATTAATTATATGCTATAATCTAAATAATTTTTTTGCTTATTTTCATGATAACTCGCTACTTTGTTTGCCACCTCCATTTTTGTGAAATGAATGCATATTTCGCCAGCCAACTTTTCAGATTCTAATTTTCTTCTTGGGTGAGAGGCGATAAGTTGGTTATGAACAGGTGATAGGAAATTAAAAAAAAAAACATATTTCATATTTTTGATAAAATGAAAATACAATTATTGAAAAAGAACAAATCCCAACTAGGGGTTATGCCTACCTGTAGTAATTCTTGAAATAGGTGGAGTATCCAAACATTCTACAGAGTGTCTCAATAGAATGATGACTTATTGTTCCTATTTAAATAAGAAATTTCATCTTTGTTCATAGGAAAGTACAATGAACAGTTTGAACAGAAAAAAGAAATGCTAGAGGCAGAAGAAAAAAAACTAGCAGAACAAACACATGTAGGATCAAGGTGTAAAGTAACTGTTCAAAATGCTCCAGATAGGCTAGGAAAGGTCATGTATTCTGGCCCCATCCAAGGACTCCCTGGTTATTGGATAGGAGTCAAATATGATGAACCTTTAGGCAAGAATGATGGAACGTGAGTTTATACCAATACAGAGAAACAATAATTTAGCAACTAAAAATATTTTAAAGGAAGGAAGGAATGCTCGGAGTCGTCTCCACAAGTTTTAATGGTGTTGTTACATAATCATAAGGGACATGTTTCGGTCTTATAAAAGACCATCTTCAGCCTAATTGAAAGTTCTACAATACAAACAAATTGATCTGATGTGTTGTAGAACTTTCAATTAGGCTGGAGATGGTCTTTTATAAGTCCAAAAGCTTTCCCTTATGATTATGTAACAAAACCATTGAAAGGTAAATTGGGTCCCGGTGGATTTTTCTCAATTTTTGGTATGATGTAGTTCATGTGGTTGTGGAAATTGCAAAAATTTCTGGAAATTCGCAAAATTTCCTGAAAGTTGCAAAAATTGCAAAAATTCCTGAGAATCGGGAAAAATTGCAAAAATTGCAAAAATTTCTGGAAATTGCAAGAATCCCTGAATTGCAATAATTGAAAAAATTGCAGAAGTTCCTGAAAATTGCAAAAATTGTAAAAATTTCTGAAAATTGCAATAATTGCAAAAATTCCCGGAAATTGGAAAAATTCCCGAAAATGGCAAAAATTACTGAAAATTGCGAAAATTGCAATTTTCAGGCATTTTTGCGATTTTTGCAATTTTCAGGAATTTTTGCGATTTTCGCAATTTTCAGAAATTTTTGCAATTTTTGCAATCTTCAGGAATTTTTGCGATTTTCGCAATTTTCAGGAATTTTTGCAATTTTCAGGAATTTTTGCAATTTTCAGGAATTTTTGCGACTTTCGCAATTTTCAGAAATTTTTGCAATTTTTGCAATTTTCAGGAATTTTTGCGATTTTCGCAATTTTCAGGAATTTTTGCAATTTTTGCAATTTTCAGGAATTTGCAATTTTCAGGAATTTTTGCGATTTTCGCAATTTTTAGGAATTTTTGCAATTTTCAGGAATTTTTGCGATTTTCGCAATTTTCAGGAATAATTGCGATATTTGCAATTTTCAGGAATTTTTGCGATTTTCAGGAATTTTTGCAATTTTTGCAATTTTCAGGAATTTTTGCAATTTTCAGGAATTTTTGCGATTTTCGCAATTTTCAGGAATATTTGCGATTTTCGCAATTTTCAGGAATTTTTGCAATTTTTGCAATTTTCAGGAATTTTTGAGATTTTCGCAATTTTCAGGAATTTTTGCAATTTTTGCAATTTTCAGGAATTTTTGCAATTTTCAGACATTTTTGCAATTTTCAGGAATTTTTGAGATTTTCGCAATTTTTAGGAATTTTTGCAATTTTTGCAATTTTCAGGAATTTTTGAGATTTTCGCAATTTTCATGAATTTTTGCAATTTTGGCAATTTTCAGGAATTTTTGCAATTTTTGCAATTTTCAGGAATTTTTGAGATTTTTGCAATTTTCAGGAATAATTGCGATTTTTGCAATTTTCAGGAATTTTTGCGATTTTCGCAATTTTCAGAAATTTTTGCAATTTTTGCAATCTTCAGGAATTTTTGCGATTTTCGCAATTTTCAGGAATTTTTGCGACTTTCGCATTTTTCAGAAATTTTTGCAATTTTTGCAATTTTCAGGAATTTTTGCAATTTTTGCAATTTTCAGGAATTTTTGAGATTTTTGCAATTTTCAGGAATAATTGCGATTTTTGCAATTTTCAGGAATTTTTGCGATTTTCGCAATTTTCAGAAATTTTTGCAATTTTTGCAATCTTCAGGAATTTTTGCGATTTTCGCAATTTTCAGGAATTTTTGCGACTTTCGCAATTTTCAGAAATTTTTGCAATTTTTGCAATTTTCAGGAATTTTTGCGATTTTCGCAATTTTCAGGAATATTTGCGATTTTCGCAATTTTCAGGAATTTTTGCAATTTTTGCAATTTTCAGGAATTTCTGCGATTTTCGCAATTTTCAGGAATATTTGCGATTTTCGCAATTTTCAGGAATTTTTGCAATTTTTGTAATTTTCAGGAATTTTTGCAATTTTTGCAATTTTCAGGAATTTTTGAGATTTTCGCAATTTTCAGGAATTTTTGCAATTTTCGCAATTTTCAGGAATTTTTGCAATTTTTGCAATTTTCAGGAATATTTGCAATTTTCAGACATTTTTGCAATTTTCAGGAATTTTTGAGATTTTCGCAATTTTTAGGAATTTTTGCAATTTTTGCAATTTTCAGGAATTTTTGCAGTTTTCAGGAATTTTTGCAATTTTCAGGAATTTTTGCAATTTTCAGGAATTTTCGCAATTTTCAGGAATTTTTGCAATTTTCAGGAATTTTTGAGATTTTCGCAATTTTCATGAATTTTTGCAATTTTTGCAATTTTCAGGAATTTTTGCAATTTTTGCAATTTTCAGGAATTTTTGAGATTTTCGCAATTTTCAGGAATAATTGCGATATTTGCAATTTTCAGAAATTTTTCAAATTTTCAGGAATTTTTGCAATTTTTGCAATTTTCAGGAATTTTTGCAATTTTCAGGAATTTTCGTAATTTTCAGGAATTTTTGAGATTTTCGCAATTTTCAGGAATTTTCGCAATTTTCAGGAATTTTTGCAATTTTTGCAATTTTCAGGAATTTCTGCAATTTTCGCAATTTTCAGGAATATTTGCGATATTTGCAATTTTCAGGAATTTTCGCAATTTTCAGAAATTTTTCTAATTTTCAGGAATTTTTGCAATTTTTGCAATTTTCAGGAATTTTTGCGATTTTTGCAATTTTCAGGAATTTTGCAATTTTTGCAATTTTCAGGAATTTTTCGAGATTTTCGCAATTTTCAGGAATTTTTGCAATTTTCAGGAATTTTTGCAATTTTCAGGAATTTTTGAGATTTTCGCAATTTTGAGGAATTTTTGCAATTCTTGCAATTTTCAGGAATTTTTGCAATTCTTGCAATTTTCAGGAATTTTTGAGATTTTCTCAATTTTCAGGAATTTTTGCAATTTTCGCAATTTTCAGGAATTTTTGCAATTTTTGCAATTTTCAGGAATTTTTGCAATTTTCAGACATTTTTGCAATTTTCAGGAATTTTTGAGATTTTCGCAATTTTTAGGAATTTTTGCAATTTTTGCAATTTTCAGGAATTTTTGCAATTTTCAGGAATTTTTGCAATTTTCTGGAATTTTTGAGATTTTCGCAATTTTCATGAATTTTTGCAATTTTTGCAATTTTCAGGAATTTTTGCGATTTTCGCAATTTTCAGGAATTTTTGCAATTTTTGCAATTTTCAAAAATTTTTGCAATTTTCAGAATTTTTTTTAATTTTCAGGAATTTTTGCAATTTTTGCAATTTCAGGAATTTTTGCGATTTCCCGCAATTTTCAGGAATTTTCGCAATTTTTGAGATATTCGCAATTTTCAGGAATTTTGAAATTTTTGCAATTTTCAGGAATTTTTGCGATTTTTGCAATTTTCAGGAATTTTTGCAATTTTCAGGAATTTTGCAATTTTCAGTAATTTTTGAGATTTTCGCAATTTTCATGAATTTTTGCAATTTTTGCAATTTTCAGGAATTTTTGCGATTTTTGCAATTTTCAGGAATTTTTGCGATTTTTGCAATTTGCAGGAATAATTGCGATATTTGCAATTTTCAGGAATTTTTGCGATTTTCGCAATTTCAGGAATTTTTGCAATTTTGCAATTTTCAGGAATTTTTGCGATTTTCGCAATTTTCAGGAATTTTTGCAATTTTTGCAATTTTCAGGAATTTTTGCAATTTTCAGAATTTTTTTTAATTTTCAGGAATTTTTGCAATTTTTGCAATTTTCAGGAATTTTTTGCGATTTCCGCAATTTTCAGGAATTTTCGCAATTTTTGAGATATTCGCAATTTTCAGGAATTTTTGAAATTTTTGCAATTTTCAGGAAATTTTGCGATTTTTGCAATTTTCAGGAATTTTTGCAATTTCAGTAATTTTTGAGATTTTCGCAATTTTCATGAATTTTTGCAATTTTTGCAATTTTCAGGAATTTTTGCGATTTTTGCAATTTTCAGGAATTTTTGCGATTTTTGCAATTTTCAGGAATAATTGCGATATTTGCAATATTCAGGAATTTTTGCGATTTTCGCAATTTTCAGGAATTTTTGCAATTTTTGCAATTTTCAGGAATTTTTGCGATTTTCGCAATTTTTAGGAATTTTTGCAATTTTTGCAATTTTCAGGAATTTTTGAGATTTTCGCAATTTTCATGAATTTTTTCAATTTTGGCAATTTTCAGGAATTTTGCAATTTTTGCAATTTTCAGGAATTTTTGAGATTTTTGCAATTTTCAGGAATAATTGCGATTTTTGCAATTTTCAGGAATTTTTGCGATTTTCGCAATTTTCAGAAATTTTTGCAATTTTTGCAATCTTCAGGAATTTTTGCGATTTTCGCAATTTTCAGGAATTTTTGCGACTTTCGCATTTTTCAGAAATTTTTGCAATTTTTGCAATTTTCAGGAATTTTTGCAATTTTTGCAATTTTCAGGGAATTTTTGAGATTTTTGCAATTTTCAGGAATAATTGCGATTTTTCGCAATTTTCAGGAATTTTTGCGATTTTCGCAATTTTCAGAAATTTTTGCAATTTTTTGCAATCTTCAGGAATTTTTGCGATTTTCGCAATTTTCAGGAATTTTTGCGACTTTCGCAATTTCAGAAATTTTTGCAATTTTTGCAATTTTCAGGAATTTTTGCGATTTTCGCAATTTTCAGGAATATTTGCGATTTTCGCAATTTTCAGGAATTTTTGCAATTTTTGCAATTTTCAGGAATTTCTGCGATTTTCGCAATTTTCAGGAATATTTGCGATTTTCGCAATTTTCAGGAATTTTTGCAATTTTTGTAATTTTCAGGAATTTTTGCAATTTTTGCAATTTTCAGGAATTTTTGAGATTTTCGCAATTTTCAGGAATTTTTGCAATTTTCGCAATTTTCAGGAATTTTTGCAATTTTTGCAATTTTCAGGAATATTTGCAATTTTCAGACATTTTTGCAATTTTCAGGAATTTTTGAGATT